AATATAGCTTTAATGGAATAGCAAAATGAGAACATCCCATTTGTTCTTCTGCACTATCTCCGCCGCTACTGAAAGTGCTAAGACCCCGGGAGTCATTGATGGATGAGTTCGAGCTTCTTGTGCGCTGTCAAAAGTAACACGAGAACACGCAAAGGATGCTGAACATTAATTTTCCACAAGAAAATGACGGACTGCAACGCCTTTAATAGAATGAAGCACTAAAATTCAATCTCTTGCCCTTCGTTCGCAACCGAAACAAAAATTAACAGTCCAGCAAAATCGGACAAAGAGTCGGTGAGGCGACGATGAATTTGTTGGCCTGTAGCCCATCTGATTACACTATCATCAGTTCGGATCTTTTACAATGAAATAACCAAATGTTGGGATATTTGCGGCGCAAAAAAAAAAAAAATTGACGTCAACATCACATTTATTTTGCATGCAACTCCGGCTGGAAAGATAAAACAGCTTCGAATAAAACAAACTGCAGAGACCACTTTTCGATTTTACATTTGCGCAAGCATACATGTGCTCTATCTTGCAAATACGAGAAACACAAATTCGTTAGATATTTGCACGGCTATGTCTTCGCGCTTTTCGGCTCTTTTTGCTAATCATGCTTATCAGGATACTGCCCTTGCTTATCAAAGGAAATGCTCGTCGCGTTACATGCACCGCCTATAGTGTAACTTGCGCTCCCCACTGGCTTTGCACATTTTACCATACACATATATATAGCTACAGTGATATGAACATAGCTATATGTATATATATAGCTACAGTGCAGTGGTATGAACAAACATTCTTGCCCAAATTTAGATCAACCAAGCCAGCAGTCCAGAACAAGAAAGTGGACGAAGGAATGGACAAGCGGAATCAGTTCATTGTGTAAGACTCTGAAGAAAATGAGCAAATGTTCAACCAAAAGTGCTTAGGATGCGCGCAATTATACAACTGGGAAAGAGTTCAAGCACAAGACGGTCAGGTCAAAAACACATTAATGCGTCGACATCAATAAAAAATGTGAATACAGAAAATGTTAGTAAAGGAGCGATGTACAACAGCGCAACTGTCTGCAAAGATACCGTGTGGGCACAGTC